TTTTAAAAAAAACAAGTGAAGCTAATGAGCTTTGCTTTTGTCACTTATTTTTATATTATAGAAATGGCCGCACAAAAAATGAAATGGGCTTTAAATGCAATGAATAGAATTGGAGCATTTGAAAAAGATCTTAGTTCAGTTGAGAAAATCGAAGCGATTTTACGAGCTGAAACGCCTTTTGCGGAATATTTTCCGAGTATTCAAATTAGTGATTTGATTTCAGTGATAGAGAAAAAAATGGAAGCAAATTTTTGCTTCTTCAATAGCTAAAATTCCTTATCAAGCTTTCCTCATATCGTAATATCAACTATCTGAGCGTTTTTTTTTTTTTTACAGGTGGTACGATAGGATATGATAAAAATGGATATGTAATCATTGTACATAATATTGGTAAAGCTCATCCACGTAGTTTAGTTGGTACCGAACGAGTATCTCGATTTTACATCAACTCTATATATGAGTATGAAGGAATACAATGTCTTATAAGGTAAGATATATCTTCAAGTTTGACATTTCGTATTGTGAAATTGATAAAAATGACTAGCTATTGAGTAAGGCACAATTTAAATAGACAAGTCTGAAATAGATTAATGTGTTGATAGACTTGCGACATTAATGATATAAGCCGGTAACTACTGATTATAACAATGAATGGTGGGCAATGATCTAAAGATTAATAATAAGTAAAAATGTAAAAAAAAAACAATTGGTCAAATATCAAGACTAAGTTAGTAAGTATTTGCATTATTGCTATACATAGATCAGAGGAAGCGAAACGTAACTGTAAATTGGGTACAGTAGTAATCGTTGATTTGAGTGATTTCTCATACGATATCATTTTCCACTTGCCAGCTACAAAGATATACATCTCAGCAATTCTGATGCTACAGGTTTGCTTATTATCATTTATCACTGTAATGGATGCAATTGTATAAATTCGAATATATTTCATTTAAATGATTTCCATTTTCATAATAAATATAAGGGTTCATTATGAAAAAAAAAAAATTTTTTTTTAATAATCCCAAAAGCAAAATAATAATGAATTGAAAAATTCTAATTAGATAAAAATTCTAATTAAATTTTTGGCTAAAATTGATCTTAAACTGTTACCCCTAATTAAAAAGAGATAAAATAAACATGATAACTAATGATAATTTATATGTAAAGAATTGCACATTTTTATTTTTATCGTCTGAATATCTATGATAGAAAAACTCTCGTAATTTCTTTTTCTTATTTCAGTGAAGAAAAGAATTGAAGAATTATTTTGCATAGGAGATACAGTTTCAATAATGATTATAGGATATGTTCCCAGATATTGCATCAAAATTATACATTATTAATGCTCCCGTAGCTGTACAATTTCTTGTGCGAATGGTTTTGATGAATATTGCTAAAGTAAGAAAATGGAATTCGTAGAATTTAAAGTGATGAAAAGATTTACAATTTGCTTAGAAATTTAAATTTTGAGAAATAAGGGAAAACTAAAATATGGAATGAATAGATATGATAAAAAAAAAAAAAATAATTGGACAATACCTACTATTGTAGAAATATTTGAGAGTAAGAAATAAATTTGTAACTGATGTAAATTATTAAAATACATTATATCAATTTGATCACTTAAAGGAAACGACAGATACGTTCGAATTTTTGGGCAGTGATTGGAAAGAAATTTTGATAAAAAGACATGGAGCTAAATATTTGCCAAAAAGGTACGGTGGCTTAATGGACGATCATATTTTTGAAAAAGGAGGCGTGGTCCCCAATTCACTGTACGTTTTGAAAATTTTTTTCGTTAGTAAATGTTAAAATTCAATTGTAAATTTTAGAAATATAGTTTAGAAATCATATAAATAAGTGATCAAGTTTAAAAAATTGAAAATATAAAAGGATTTTAAATTTTGCTAACTGCGATTTCTTTTGTCTTTTTTTTTTAAACAAAAATTTTTCATTTGAGAATACAAATGAACAAAAAAGAAATGGCAAGGGAAAAGCTAAAAAAGATTGTGGTAAATGCACGGGATGAAGCAGTAGTAAGTATTAAAGTGGAAAAGCCAAATTCAAAACTTTCCTGGTATTTTGTCTGTTCATCAGGTGATATCGATTTCTGCATATTGTTCAAGGAGCAAGAGGTATATTGAGATAATTAATTGATTTAATGCACATATCTTTTTTTTTTCGTAGAATTCATTATTACTTTGCTAATAATTCTGATTTTATTTCGAATAAAAAACACAAGGCAATCAGTTTGGAAAATGAAAAATCAAATAAAAATGATGGAAGTCTCAAAATTTTCTTAAATAACCAAAAGTTATGATTATGTGTAAAAACTGATTGGTCATATATCATTATATGAAATTTTAGAATAGATAAATTTGATACAGGACACATATTAAGCTAATTACCATCTATTAACATCCAATACATCGTATTGATATCTGATTGATGAATACGATCCCGGTGAACATTCCGTCCTTTCCTTCAATTTTTTTAAGGTTTGGCCACGTTTCCGGATTTACACTCAATTTATAGCGGAATATAATGAAATCGTGTGCAATGAAGCTGGCATATATCAATTGTTATTCTCAAACAAACACGGACGCATATGGAGCAAAATTATTCAGTATTACATTAACATCAAACAACCTTCCGCTTAAATTAAAAATACAATTTTATTGATAATAGAAATTTAAAAATTACAATATGACTAAATGTGTGATTTTAATTTTTCAACTTTTTGAAAGTTGAAAAACAAACACAACCGATTTATTATTGAACAATATGAATGGAAAGCAAAATGACATTAATTGGTATAGATGAAATGGATACTATTGGGTTGGTATCAAGAAATGGGTGATAAAAAGCTTATCCATACAGTTATGTTGATGAGCTTATTATCACCCATATTATCATCGAACAATGAAACTGTTAGTAATTAAAACTAAAACCTCTATCAAAGTATTACTATGATGAGATTTAAATTGCGTATTTGTAAAATAGAAAAGCAATACATTTGATCCTCGAGAATAATCAGCCGTTCAAATCTCAAATCTACTTATTGACTAAACATTCACCAGTAATGTCGCAAAAGCATTTTAAAAATATAAAGCGTATTATTGACTGAGAAAGTTATAACTCAGTAGCAGGATTGGGATTCCAAGAAATCTTATTAATCTTGAAATTTGCAATTAATAAAGCTTTATTTAAATTTACTAACACTAATATATCCAATGTTGATTTACACGCAAATTTTCAAATGGAATCATTTTCACAAATCAAATTCATCCGAAGATTTTCCCGGTTCCTTTACAAATTCGAAATTTCTTTCTAATTTTAATTGGCTTGAAAGCCATTTT